GCTTGAAGGTGCCCTATGTTCCACTGGGAATGTAAAGGAAAGAAAAACTCTTTTTCCAACCTAATCCTATATCAGCTAACACTGTCCCGGTCGTGGAATGGCGATGGTCTTGTATGGGTGGTATCACATCTACTGGTCATCTCAGTCGATGTAGCTTCACAACGTCATCGATTACCTTGCCTTTATTACCTAGGATTCTACGCCTCACCTCAATATTCCTCATTATATTATACCACTTAATATGGGTGAGAGAATGTAGACATATGTGATTAAAGAAAGCTAGATTTTTCATATTTTTCATTTTCAATAGCTATGTCTCACAGTCATAAATAAGGACAGTGAGACTATCTGTGCAGTCTACACGTCCTTTGATCGATAACTAGATATATTACGACTACACCATTGACAATTATATAATTTAGCTAATGTCAAATATGAATTTACACTCAATGATTCACAAACCCTATGTTTGTGATTGCTTGTTTACTTCTTTTAAATTCTTATTAACCTCAAAACGTGATATTAATTCTTTAGAAAAAATTGTTTTAAGAAAAACCTGATTTTTCGTTATTTTAATTCTCTATATATCACGTAAATCATTTCGATTTGGACACTTGGTACAAAACATCACTCAAACAGTTTCATTTTGTCATCAGGTAATAAATCGATAGATAGACAGACAGACAGTCTAAATTTAATTGGCGGAAATTATTGATTGTCTTGGTGACCTTCACATCAGTCACTGATTGGATAGTGTTAATTCAGATTACTCTAAATTTGACGTAAAAATTCAAAGGCAGAAGGATGGAATGCTATAAGTCGCTTAGCTTCTGAGCGTATTTTTTTCATTCTAAGGATGGCAGCAACTTCAGCGTATTCAAATTAAAAAAGATCCTTGATGCTAGATGTTTGGAGACAATCCCCACAGGAATCTTTGAGTCCAGATACTCCATGCTGATGAGTGCTAACAAGTACGAAACCTATGTCATATAGGGCTTCGTATTGACTCCTTGCATGGTAGCCACATTGCAAACATGACTGATAAAATGGATTCTGCATCAAGTAAAGCACAAGTGTCCAATGAGATGTCTTTGATTGGCTAATATGGTTAAAAACTTTAGCATTATCAAATCTATTATACAAAAGTTATAGGTATATATCAAGGAGAAAATCAATTCATTATTGATTGGGTTTTTTTTCACAATAATCAATATTTGCCGATTCAAATTTATACCTTATTGAATGGTATAAATACTACATACTTTCTAGATTGTATTTGATTGCCTGGATTGTTGGGATTAGCATTTATTTAATTCTCTAAGGACACTAAATACCAATATATGAGACTTTTATTCAGTGATCATACATTATTCCGTGTAAGTCGCAACAAGTTACTACTCAATTGGCGGGATAGCAGGTGATAGCCCATTTAAGATCATTTATATCATTATAAGATAAGGTTCAACTACCTTCTAACTTCATTATGAAGTTAGTGCTGAAAATGTTTCCTAGGAGGATAACTATACCTTATCAACATTAAACTATCCAGCCCAGAGAATGCAACAACACACACAGAAAATATCCATCCATTTGAGTTACAAATCTTCTCCACTGTCTCAAAATCTTACTGACCAACTACGTAACAACAAGCCAGCTATTCCAAGTTTTGAATATTATTATTCCCTTGAGTTCAGAGTGGAACATCTCCATCTTGCTATCTTCTGTGCAATCCACTTCAGCCGGTGGGGTGATTGCCCCATGTCACACTCATACTCACGCCCAACTCATCCTTCGCCTTTCGGTTTCCACTCGAATGATGGCCTGGCCCACGATGTCATTTAATGGTCTCCTAAACTTGTGTCTGATGCATCACCATTTTCTTCAGAATATCTTAGGGCACTAGACTCTTGACAGGTTCGTAGCCATAGTTCCCTGGTGCTACCCCTCTGATCATCAGTATGGAGTTGACAAAGAAGGCAGCTATTGATAAATGTCTGCGCCTGGCTATTTTAAGTGATTTTATGACGCCTCAACTTGAAATTAAGGTTGAAAATTCGAATGTTGTCCTTTATGGTAATTCCAACAGATTTCAACACAGATTTCAGAGTAATGAATGTCTCTCTTTACTTCCCGACCGTGCCTGGCTTTGAAATCCTCCTTCATGTTGCCTGTAAGTTAAATGGTGCTGCCCAGGTCAGACAGGTGAAAGAGCTGACCTCCTTTCGCATTTCTTACGTTGATGATGATTAGTCTTTGCTATTGTTTTTGTTGGTTAGTTATGTTTATCACTTCTGTCTCCTCCTTAATGTTCATTTGAAGTCCTCACTTAGCTGCTTGCTTTTTCTGCCAACTTGGTTGTTTTTGCTTATAGTTCTTGGAGTTTATGTGACACTATAGACATAAGTCAATCGTGAATATAAGAGCAAAAAGTTCAGTGAAGAGCCTCCTTTCGCTGGCGAATTCATTCACTTAGCTGTACAATCGAATTTATATTTAATTATTTTGTGTATTTGTGTGTGTACACTAGGTTTGTCAAACAAAATAAAAATTAGTTAGGGTTACTGTTTACGTCATCAAAATGTTTCAAAAATGTGATACGTAATCAGATTTTAACTAGGGGTAGTGAAGATCAGTAAGTCCTGACTGGGGTTACGTAATATGAAAGACACCCAGAAAAATAGGAAGATGCTATACACGAATATGGTGTTCAGAGACAGCCTTCTGACCGATATCCTACATAGGAGAATATCCAACCCCCTGAAAAGAGCACTCTCTACTTCTACATTACGCCCATTGTTCTTCAGCAGCTCTTAAGATAAACTATAACTTTTGACCACTTCTATGTGTATCTACCAATTCACGTGCTCATGTGGAGCGAGCGAGATATGTAGGGGTCGTTCGATGCGTGTTTCATCTAAAAGAGTGAAAGAACATTATCCCGCTTAGCTACGTTAAAGTAACATTGGATCAATAAGGAGTGCTATAACTGAACACATACGTATTCAACACTGGTCACTCAGTATTTGTGACGAGAATGCATTCAAAATCATCTACAAAGTCGAAAGAAGCCTCCCGAAGACGGTAAACTTCCGTATACTATGCATTGCTGAGTGAGGCCTTACGGATACGGATGGAAAACCCTAATTTATGTACACAGAAGAAACTTCTCCATTCTCTCATTATACCCTGAGTATAGTTCCAAGTTCTACTACTTTGTTAATAATGCTTTCTTTATTTTGAATTTTTTAATGACATCTTAGCAACATCTTTTTCTTAACCAAACCTTTATTCACTCTTTCTACGTAATACATAATTTATTTCGGACACTTGTCTCCAAGTTCTTTCATAAACATTCTATTTACCTCTTTCAGACGAAACTAGGTAGTGCAAGCAACCGTTACACAATAAATGTGGTTCTAAGCCTTGTATATAAAAAAATCTGTATGTGTACTTTTCGTTTTCTTTATAACTTTCCTCCACTCCGTTCTTCCTTTTTGGGCGGCTTGCTTAAAACTTATTATTATTTCCTTTAATTCCTAGAGGAACATAGGGCTTCAGCCATGCGTCTCCATTGCGTTCGGTTCTCTGCTGTAGTTTTCACCTGGCTCCAAGTCTGCCCATGCTTAAAACTTGGGCTACCGGAAAACCTCCATCAATATATTGGATATAATTTCTCTTATTCGATTTGTTTAAAGCTGGTGAAATATGACCTCTAATAGTATTGTTTACTCTGGCGACTGTTTAAAACATTTACAGCCTACTGATTCGCGAGTTTCTAATAAACATGAGAAAAAGTATTATCCTCGATGGATAGCGGGTTATCCCAACAGATAAGATAACTGTTCTTGGGTTGTATCCCTGGTTCATATAAATGTACTCCTGAACATTTTTTAATTGATTAAAAATGCCCAGTAAAAATTTTTTTTCAAAAGAATGGTGACTGAACAAAGAAAACTCTTTTCGATAACTTCATCATCAGGTTTTACAGTTTTATATACACATGAAAGTGAATTAATTATGGTCATTAAGGTTCGACAGCATCAACATAACACTACATACTGAATGTCAGGAAAATTAGGAAAGATAATAACACAAATTCATCAATTTATCGTTCCTACTGAAGGCCAGGGCAGGGTGGTAGTAGTGACTAGCTGGACTTGCTTCTTCTGTACATAGAGTACCAGTTGTTTCACGTGAATCGCGATAGCCTCTGCTGTTTTAAGCATACGGTACCTCGATGTTTTTGGCAATTTATTTGCTACCCGGTAGATGATGATAGAGAAGGATTCTTCAAGGCTAACTAACTAGCTTTGTAACTAGTTTGGACCAGATGGTCTAATATCGAGTTGTTGATGGTTTTTACTAGACCCTTACTTAGCCATACTGGGAGATGTTCTCCAGTGAGCACGAAAAATCAAGTTTTTAGAGCAACGATCAATATAACTCACTCCACAAGCACAGTTGAATTGGCAGATACAATTGGAAGTGGCTAGTCTAGTCTAGGTACTTCATCTTTCAATTAAGGAATCACCATCGGTCATGTAGAAAACATGACTTGTAGTTTGCCAGCATTGAAAGTTCTTTGAACTGATTTTCTTAATTTCTTCGTAATTATTTCGCTTGGTATATCGCCCTTGAGTTGCAGTCCTAGGTACAATGGCTTCTTGATATTATTGATTCTATCTTATTTAAACAACATTAATGTTGTTCATAACACTAATTCATTCATTCACTATTTTGGATGGATATATAACTGTAGAGCCTGATGAAGAACAGGTTATCGAGAAAAGAATCTTCTGTGTTCAGTAACCATTCCTTTTTTAATTGGCATTCAACAAAATGTCATCGTGTATTTCTCGAAGCAGATAAAGAAGAAATATCATGCAATCAACTCCTCTGAAAATTCTCCACGTTATATGAACACTATTCAGAATAAAGATATTATTATTATTACTATTAGTTAATTAACTATAAGTCTTTTTCTAACATCCAAAACTCAGGAATCCTTCAATGGCTTTTAAATATTACAATATGGGAAAAATGTTTCTCTGATAAACTACGCAGTTTCGCCGATTTATGCAGCGTGGCCAATGTCTCCGTATTCCTGTTTGCTCAAGCTAATTTCGGTTATTACATCCATGGGCATTCACCAACTGGTTGCTCAGATGTCGATATAGGCGGGATAACACAAATACTGTCAGTTGAAAGTGAAGGGATAGCACCAAAACGTGGCATCACCCCGGATTCTGATGACCACACCTATCGAATGGCTTTACCCTCTGGACTAAGGGAAACATTCGATCGATTGTATTCACCTCTGTTAAATTTAACAGTGAATATTGATAAATGGGGCAAGCAAATGTCATCGTCTCAAGTGATTACAAATGAAGTCTATCAGAATATTAATCGATTTTTGAAAAGATTTATTTCAAGAGTAAGTATTGCTTGCACTTGGTTTTTTTTCTTTACCAAGTTTCATCACGACAGAGAGATATTGAAAACCTGGAAGTAATGCATAGTTGTTTCGCCCAAACATGGGACTCTTCAGCAATACATACTGCCGACCCTATCCACCAAAGGATCGAAATGAAGAACCTCAGATTATAAGGCTAGCCGGCTGGCCATTCGACCACCGAAGCAGGATTCAATAACCTATTGGTTCTAACTCGTCGCAACCGCCAGCCAGTGTTATTAGCAAGTGTCCAGCTTAGTGAACTTCGCTGGTCAAGACTTCTTGATAGAACTCTAGGCAATTAATAAAAAGACAATTGCAGCGAAGAAAATTTTCTTTTCGAC